GCTCAGGCTGGTCTTGAACTCCTGACCTTGAGTGATCCTCCTGCCTTGGCCTCCCAGAGTGCTAGGATTACAGGCATGAGCCACCACGCCTGGCCATAAATTGATATTTTGATCTAAAAAGATAGCATCTAATCCTTTGATTGTTAAAATGTACACCTAATCCAAAAAGTTATTGAAATTAACCTGAATTAACTTTCTACTGCTGCTGTAATAAATTACCACAAATTTAATGGTTTAAAGCAACACAAATTTATTCTCTTAAGTTCTAGATGGCAGAAGTCTGAAATGAAATGAAGGTGTCCACAGGACTGGTTCCTTCTGGAGTTTCTAAGGGGGAACTCTGTGTCCTGCCTTTTCCAGCTTTTAGAGGCCACCTGAATTCCTTGTATCTTGGCCCCTTTATTCATCTTCAAAACCAGAAGGGCAGCTTCAAATCTTTTTCTCTCTGCATCTCTTGTCACATTGCCTTCCCTCTTATAAGGACTCCTGTAGTTGGGTCTACCCGGATAAACCAGGATAATTTCCCCTTCTCAAAATAGCCTTTCTTATTACTCATGGAATCTTCTAAATATATTACAGGTATGCATAATGCAAATACTTTCTATTTGATCTTAAAATTGAATGCAAATAACCAACCTATTCTCAAAGTCCTCCAACAAGTGGGACCATGTTATTTATCTGCTTATATCTCTCTTCATTTGCCAAGATATATTTGCTCAATTTAGTACAAAAGAGCAAAGATCTCAATCTTTGGAGTCACACTGACTGGGTTTAAATTATGCCCTTGCCACTTAATTGTATATTACTTGATCTGTGTAAGCCTAAGTTTTCTCATCTGCAAAATGAGAGTAATAAGACCTATGTCTTAGGGTTGTTGCAAAGATTAAAAAAGAGAAAGTCCACAATTCACCTGGCATTGGACCTGGCATATAGTGAGTACTCTCAAAACCTTAGTTCTCTTCTCTTTTGTTTTTTTTTTTATTTATTTTTACATTTTTTTATTTTAGCATATTATGGGAGTACAAATGTTTAGGTACAAAAGACATTCTATTAAAAAGACATCTGCACTAGCGTGTTTATAGCAGCACAATTCAAAATTGCAAAGATGTGGAAACAACCCAAGTGCCCTTCTCTTTCCTTAATCCCTGCAAAATGACATGATTACAAAGGGAAACAGCCCCAAACATAATTAGTTTTGCTATCCTTTGATTCAAAATGCTCACCATCTCTTCCTCATCACTCTAAATTTTATCTTTTCTTAAATATTCATTGCAAGACATCCCTCCCAGAAAGCTTTCTCCATATAAGAAAGGGCCTGCCAATTTCTACCCTCTGAATGGCACAGTTCTTGTGTTGAGCACCAAACAATTTACTACTAGATTTTATATTCTTTTATACCATTTTTAAGTTTCATGTACATGAGATTCACATATAGGTCTCTCAAAAATGACCACAAATTCCTATAGGGGAAGAACGTATTTCTATTTTCTTGATATTTAACACAGTATTCAGCAGGTATTAAATATACAGTCAAGCTTAATAATGTCTGTTAGCCCAACATAGAAAGGAAAACCGTATAGAAAGAGGATTGGTAAATTAAGTGAAGAGTCTGGAACAGAATATTTTGCTGAACAAAACCTGATTTAAAAATAGAAGATTATTTTATGCCAAAAATAAGTCAATCTGAAGGATAATGTTAAAGTCATAGCCAAGTTTCAGAAAACTATACCATCATATATTTTGACTAATAATGTATATTAATTCCAAGAACTTGAAAAAAAAATAGCTCTTTATGTGGATACATTACCTGTCTTTTGCAGTAGCCAGCACCTATACCAAATTCTTCCAGCTGCAATGACCGTGTATTCAAGGAATGTAACTGAGCCAAGGTTTCTACCATGGCCACATATATGGCCGAACGTTCTGCTGGACTAACTCCAGGTATTGAGAGATCACGAAAGATTCGACCCTATGGAAGTGATTACAATAGATAATTTAAATGTTTTGCAACCAAAACCTATATTTTGTAGAATATGTTAGAAAAACATTCATTTGTGAAACATGTTTAATATTAGAGTATATGTGTCAAAGGGAAAATACAAGGATATGCTAAGATGAACCTAAAAGCCAAAACTATTCTCAACTTACATTTTACAAAAAACAAATTAAAAAACTATTTGAATTTATTGTTCTTATTGGCTTGATAGTCCTACATAGAGTTGATTTTCCCTGATAAGGTTATTGGTTGTTGCCATTACTTATAGCTGTTTGCTGACACCTACAGGAGAATTTAAGAATAAGTCAAGATGCACCAATTATTAAATTTGCTCCTCATCTATTTCATCCCTCCCTCATTGCGTGTGCTCAAATTAAAACAAAATTTTAATCCTTTGCAAGGCAAACCAATTACCTAAAATAACGAATAATAAACTACATAATTTATAAATATTAAAATAAAACTTCATCTAATAAAGCATCATAACTTCATAATTAAAAATAAAAGCAACAAAATAAGATTGTTAATTTACCTGCACATGTTCCATCACATAAAATTCTGTTCCAATGACAGATACATCACTGCAGTACAGTATAGGCTTGGGAACAGGGAATCCAACAGAAAACAAGGCTTTCTGGACTTTAAATTCTCTGTCAATCTAAATAGGATGATGGATTATTAAAAATCAGAGACATAGAAATTTAATAACTATTTGTGAGCTGACCTTAAGGCTAGAAATCAATTGTAAAACAGTGTCAACAAATAACTCAGAGGATAACAGTAATAATTTCCTTAACAGTACTCTTAATGCAATCGTCGTAATTATAAATTAGACCAGCACTAAAAAAAATGATAATTTAGTTAGGATAAAAAGATGGGTACCTGCATGGGGCTTAATCTTGGCTCTGGTAATATGAAGGCAAAATAGTTCCTGACCATAATAGTTCACAGTTGTTTGGGGTTTTTTGAGACCGGGTCTTGCTCTGTTGGCTGAAGTGCAGCGGAGTGATCTGATCTTAGCTCACTGCAGCCTCGAACTCCTGGGCTCAAGTGATCCTGCTGCCTCAGTCAACGAAGTAGCTGGGAGTATAGGCACATGCCACCATGCGTGGCTAATTTTTTTTTTTTATTTTTGTAGAGGTGGGGGTCTCACTGATGCCCACGTTGGTCTTGAACTCTTCAAGCAACTCTCCCACCTCAGCCTCCCAGAGTGCTTGGATTCCAGGCATAAGAATCCAAGTGCTTGGATTCCATGGTGACCAGCCAATATTTCTCAGATTTTATCATAAAACATCCCTTTCTCCTTTGTTCTCAGCAGTTCCCTGCTCACTGGTTTGCTCTGTTTCATTCATTTCTCCCAAGGAGGCTCAGGTAAGTCTCTATTCTAGCACACTACCACAGTCAGCTACAGGGAGCTGGGGCAGGTAGGTGGGTGGTGGTGGGAAGGGAAAAACACCTGCCCCCTCTGGAGATCAAAGGAGGCTCCTGTTTCCAAGGCAGGGGTATGGGGATCCTTCCTGGTACCTGGAGCTGCTGTGGAGCTCAAGATAACTACTGGGAAAGTAGGCCATTAGAAGCAAACTGGTACTGAAGCAGGAGCCCAGACAAGATAGTGGGAAGAAAATGACCTTCTTAATCAGAACAGAGGTGCAGGCCTATCACTCAGGACCCAAGGGCACCGCTTACAGCAGGGTTGTGATGCAGACCATGTAAGGATGATTCATCTGCATGTAAAGTCATCCTGCCCCAGACTCAGGCAAGGGTGACTGACCATTCTAAGGAGGGGAAACCATGCAGCTCATTTTGACACCAAGGAGTAAAACAGCTGCTGCAGTAATAACTAGAGTAATAAAGGGAGGTAACTAAATCCATGTCTAAGCAGTATCTTGGTGGGGAAATGAGCATGGGGTGGTCAAGACGAGAGGAAAAGGGGTTAGGGAGGCAAAAAATGGACGGCAGAGTGGGAGCATTGCTTTTTTCAACGCAGAATTGGGAAAAATGAAGGGAGTCGAAACAAAGTACTCCAGATCCTTGGAGCTGTACTTGTGCTGAGAGTATTATGTTATGTTCTGATGTGTTCTGGTAGGATGCTATCAAGAAGAGAACCCAGTAGAGCTGATTATAGGGGCATAAATCCTGAGCACAGGTGGGGATTCTCCTTCAGCCATGTCATGTTGACATTTAATAAAAGTTACCCAACTTTTTTTTATCTTAAGCATCCAAGTTTCTCCATGTTTCTGGGAATACAGTGGGACCAAGGAAGTCAGGGTCTGTATTTTCTATTACTGTAATATTAAGACCACCCCACAATGGTCCTTCTCCAGTGAGCTGAGCCTGGGGAGCACCTGCTATCCATGATTACAGAATACTTTAAATATGCACAGTGCTTCTGATGTACTCCAGGACTTTGATTCCTATCCTCTTCCGTTCTATAAAAATCCATAGATAATAACTGTTTTCTGAAAATAGAAAAACTTTTATAATTCTTAGTCTAATATTTAGAGAATATTATAAAATTCTTTTTCAAATCTTTCTTTTTATCACCAAAAGATTACAAGATTGTCATAGGAAATATATTAAAATAATCCAGCAAGTAGATATTGTTATTAGATATAATAATTTAAATATATAATAACAAACAAAACATCTATAAATGAGTAGCACTGAAAATACTCATTCGCTGATCATATTTCTAGCCAAGTGTGTAGGGAGAAATCAAATCCACAAGAGGACTGGGGGTTGCTCAAGATTAATAGCCTAAAGACAGCCTTAGATTTCAACCCCAAATCCTTTTTAAAAACAAAAAAGGATACAATTCAAGTGAAATTTTAATTAGAAATAAAATATATTTTCTATTATTTAGTAATCATGGATGAGTTTTAAAAGCAATTTAAATCAGTTTTATATGTATAAAAAACATTTATTTGTCACCAAATAATTTATCATTTGTATACTATACCTTATGTGCTTTAGGAAGAAGTGAACCTGGTGGTTTTTTCCTGAGTACATATGCTTGAAAGCCCTTTTTCAGATAAAAGGTTGGATTGGACTGTCCTGATCTAGATAAAAGTAAAGAAAAGGTCAATTACAAAGATATGTTTTCCTTCTTCCTAAAATCCTACTGAAATGTCAAAAGGAGCAGGAAATAAAAATAAATCCATCTTAATGCTGGAAAGCCAAGAGGGGTGCTGCCATCAGCTTATAACATGAGTTTCTGGATGATATTAAAGCAGATAGCAACACATTGGCAGCTGGAGAGTTTCTGACCCACATAGATAGAAGAGAGTACCCTACCTCCTGACTGTAAATCATGTTTTACTAGAAGTACCTCTAGAACAATGGGTACTTCTGATAAAAGTAAGTAAATAAAAGCTGAGAGAAGAGATTTTATGTGATCAGTCAAAAAATCAATTAAAGGATCCTGGATCAGCTGGACTAGTGCCCCCTTATCTACCCTAATAGAGATAATCCCCATATGTGTTACCAAGGCCAGCACCTGAGTACAGCTCTCTACAACTGGAGATCTGAGAAGCGAGGTCCTCAAGTGAGCAAATGGGCCAGGAAAGTGCCATGGCATCCCAGCTAACTCACAGACACCAGGGCGCTGGCTTTCCCTGCCAGATGAACAGAGACTCTCACACGGACTAAGGATCCACACTCCAGTGACCAAAACTATTCGATCTACACCTTCACTTATAGTATGGGCAGTTAAGGATCACACAACTTTTGAAGAATCCAACAGTATAAAAGAGAGACTCCAAATTAAATAAAGAGAAGAATCAATCCCTGAGGTAACAGGTAATAGGGGAAAGTGGGAAAAAAAAAAACACCTTTTAAGATTCTTCTCAGGACTCCATCCTCCATCAGGAAAAAAACAAGAGTGAGCCCAGACTGAGTGCAGCAGCAGCTTCAGTGTCTACATCTTTCTCTTACAAGCCAGATCCATCTTTCCCTGCAGTCATATCAAAGAACTTGGATCTTGGCTGGGCGCGGTGGCTCACGCCTG